ATATTTACTACCTTGCCCTTTACTGGAAAAGCTTGCTGACTCCTGCTCAAGATTAAGAATTTGAACCTGGCCATTTGGTTGTAGAGTCCATGCTTTTTTTTTTTTTGGTACCGGGGATCGAACTCGGGACCTTGCGCTTGCGAGGCAGGCGCCAGAACCACTGAGCTAAATCCTTGGCCCAAGTCCATGCTCTTAACCACTCCATCACACTGTCTTTATTATATCTTTTTTACCCTCAAGCCACCATCTGAGGTGACTAGTTTTAAGAATGTCCAATGCTTCTCTTTATGTCTTTTTTTCCTTGCTCATAGAACATGACTACTGTGTATGTGTTTATGGATATAAAGTTGCCATGAACACTGAATTATTGAATACTGAACTGCTTCTCTTAGAAGGAAATATAGGGTTAGGCTCCCATGAGCCTCTCCTCACAACAATTTTGCCAACCTATTATTACATAATTTGTTTTGTGTCTGCTTCTGTTTACATATACCTTACTTAATAAATACTTTTGTTTAAGTAACATTAGACTAAAAGCCAACAGCACTATAACTCATGCCTAAATGAAAGCTATCTAACATGTATTTTCTTTCAAATATATCACAATCTTCTTTTTTGGGGGGGCGTACTGGGGATTGAACTCGGGAACTTGCGTTTGTGAGGCAGGTGCTGGACAATCTTCTTGAACTTAGGAACACTAACCAGCATTTCATCACTATACTGAGTGCCATTTTAAATAGCAGAAGCACAAAAGAAGCGCAAGTATAAAAAAATTGAGCACTGAATAAACTAAGAAAAGGACACATGTTACAGTACAATAGTTGAAACAATGACATTCCTCTTCCTTGTCACACGTCTTTCAGCTGTCATGCTGTAAGCATGGGAACTTGTGTTTCAGGTGACTCAAATGTGTTACTTCTCTATACATATCTATGAGTGATTGCAAAAACACAAGTGTGTTGATTTTGGGATTACAAATAAATTTTAGTGAGAAAGCAAATTCACAAATACAGAATCTAGTAACAGTGAAGATTAACTGTTTACCTAAAAATCAATTTATCAGTTGATTTGCTTTACAAAATAAAGTCATTCTATTCACTTTTCTGAGAAATTTGCTTTTTTTCCTCTTAACAAATCAAATATTCTGGGAAGAGTATAAAGAAGGGAAGGATAGAGAAAGGATGGCTGATGGGTACAGGGTTGAAGTGGATAGGAGGAATAACTTCTAATTGTTCTATGGCACATAGGATGACTATAGTTGACAAAAATTATTTTATAATTTCAGAATAACTAGTGGTGAGGATTTTTTAATGTCCCTACCACAAAGAAATGATAAATGTCTGAGGTGATGGATATACACATTACCCGGATCTGATCATTGCACATTGCATTCATGTGTTGAAATGTCACACTTTTGGTCTGGAAGCTCAGTAGTTGAGGCATATGTGAAGCCCTAGGTTCAACCCCTAACACTAGAATAAAAGAGGACACACTTTGCTTGATTAACATGTACAACTACTATGCATCAATTAAAAATAAATACGTAAAAAAGAGAAAATATTAGGCTGTGTGTGGCTGTGCACACCTGTAATCCCAGAACTTTGAGAGGCTGAGTAGGACCATTGTGAGTTCAAGTCCAGCCTGGGCAATTTAGCAACTTAAAAAAAGAAGACCTGAGGATGTAATGCAACACAAAGGCTCTGGGTTCAATCCCCAGTACCACCAAAACAAAAACCAAACAAATCATAAATATCTACAAAACTTGGTAGATATAAACTTTTCTTTTTTTTGCACACACTTTAATTAGATTCATTTTTTATGTGGGTGATCTTTTGATTTCTTTGCATTCTCAATATGCTAAAACACATTGGGAGCCAGGAAATACTTGTTTAATTCAGCAAATATTTATTTATTGCCTTTTGTATGCCAAATACTGAGTTGTATAGTGAAATAACACTTATTTATTTTAATAAGAGATAGCATTTTACCTTTAAGGATTATTCTACCTGATAATAAGTATCATTCTTGTAGTAGGTACTAAGAGTGAAACAAAAGAGGGAGTAATTATTTCTGCATTGAAGAGACTGGGGAAGTGTTAAACTAGAGGTGATACTTAAATGTAAGCTCTTTGAGGGAGAGGATTTTTATCTGTTATGATTACTCTGGTATCTCTGAACCTATAACAGCACCTGGAATAGAAGGAGATTAAATACATACTTGAATTAAGATTTCTGTATTTGGGGAATGGAATGAAGAGTATTTCTGACCCAAAGAACTACATGAGACAACATTTTCCAAACTTATTTGACCAACCCTTACATTTTTTTTCATAAGACTGTATGTTTATAAAACGCAAATAAGTGTACAACTAAATGAAATTTTCCGACCTGAATACATTCTTGTAACCAGAAGCCAGATCAAGAAACAGAACTATACCAATACTCTCTCTCATGTTCCCTTCTGGTCATTATCCCCTTCCCCCACCAAGAGAAATCACCATCTTTTTTTTTTTTTTTTGGTACCGGGGATCAAACTTGGGACCTTGTGCTTACAAAGCAGGCACCGGAAAGCCATCACCATCTTGACTGCTAACATGTATATTATTTTATATGAGTAAAATAATATGTGTTAATATTCATTTATATCTGGGCTTTTTTGTTCAGCATTATGTGTGACAGTCATTTTACTGTTAAGTATAGTTGTAGATCATTTATTCTTTTTATTTCCCATTAACTTTATTGGTACATTTTAGGTATACAATACAGTTACATTCAACATTGGGATCTTGTACCATTACATGAGTCTCTTGGTTCTTATTTTTTTTCCCCTTCCCTTGCCCTCCCTTCACCCCCTCCACCCTTCCCTATATGCAAAGACCTTGTTTCCATTTTTTTCCTCTTCTCATATTTTTTCCTTTCCCTTTTTTCCCTTCCCCTACTCCTCCCAATTCCCTTGCTCTTTTAGGCCTTTTCTTCCTGTTACACAATATCAGTTATACATTTTATAAATTGCAATATTAAGTAGATCATTTATTCTTATTGCCATATAGTATTCCACTGGGGCAGTATACCTAATTTGTTTATCTATTCTACTATTGATTAACATTTGAGTCATTTCCACTTTGGAAATACAGTATTAGAAATCACGCTGTTATAAACATACCAATGAACAACATTTAATTAACATATATAAGCATAAATGTTGGATGTATACTTATGAGTAGAATATGTGACATAGGATATATATGTGTGTGTATACATATATATGTATACACACATATGTATATATACACATACATGTATATACAATGTGTTTATATGTATGTGTATATATGTATATATATATGTATTTAACTTTATAAAACACTACCAAGCAATTTTCAAAAGAGGTTGACTCATTTCATTCCTACAACCAGTGTTTAATAGTTTTTATTGTTTCACATCCTTGTCAACATTTGGTATTTTCTCCTTTTAGCTATTTTGGTGGTTGAGTAGTGCTTTCTCACTGTGATTTAAAATAAATTGTATTTAATTAATTTTTTTGTGTGTGGTACTGGAGATTGCACCCAGGGCCTTCACATTGAGCTACGTCCTCAGCCCTTCCTTTATTTTCTGTTTTGAGGCAAGCCCTCACTAAATTGCTAGGGTACCCCTGCTGGGCTCAAACTTTCGATCTTCCTGCCTCACCCGCCCAGAGTGCTGTGTTATAGGCATGTGCCATGACATCCAGCTTCTCCGGTTATTTATTTATTTATTTACTTATTTATTTATTTATGAGACAGGGTCTTGCTGGGTATTCCAGGCTGGCCTGGCCTTGAACTCACTATGTAGCCCAGGCTGGTCTGGAACTCATGGTGATCTTCCTGCCTCAGACTCCTGAGTGCAGGAACTATAACCATACTGGGCTTCTCACTGTGATTTTAGTGTACATTTCCTTGATGAAATTCAGGCACTTTTTCATGTGTTTATTGACCACTTGTATATGCTTTTTCTGTGAGGTGTCACAGAACTATGGGAAAAGGAAAGAACTGAAGACAGAATCCTGGGGGGAAAACCAACATTTAACTGGCAGAACAACTGGAAAAAATGGGAGCTTCAGCTAGGCAGGCTATGTAGGGATAATGGAAACCAAAATAGTGGACTAGGGGTGCAGCTCAGGGGCCTAGTATGTTTCAGGTCTCGGGTTTGATCCTCATCACCACCAAAACAACAGTAAAATATAATAGTTGTTATCGTTTATATCTCGATGTGCCCCCAAGAGCCTTATGTGCTTATAGGCAGAGTCTTTGGACAGTAGTTATATTATGGGGGCACTACAGGTGGCTTGGTGTTGGCAAGTGAGCCCTGCTCTGAAGAGGTGGGTCACTGGAGGTGTAACCTGGAAGGGCATATCTCCTTCCCAAGCTTGTACCTTTACTTTCTGCATCCCAACCCCCTGACATGAGCAACTTTTCCTCCACAAAACCTCTCCTTTAAGTTTTGGGTATTGGTATTTGTCCCAGCGATGAGTAAAGTTATTAAGACAATAGTGTTATGACAAGTTGAGAGAGAAAAAAAGAGATTGTGTAGGCAACAGTGTCAAATGCTGAAAAGAAATTACACATTAATGAGGAATGAGAAGATGTGATGATAGGGCGTATTTGGTAACTGGAGAGAACAATGTAGAATGGAGGTGTGTAAAAGCTATATTGTGTGAAGTCTGAGAAGTTTATGAGAAGGAAGTAGATTATATAATCATAGTAAGCCTTCAGTTTTGCCTCAAATCCATAGATCATTGTGAAATAAATTATTTTAATCTTTAGTTATTTGGGCAATTGTCTCTGCCTTTCTGCTCTGCCTTGCCTGTGAAGATCTACTTTAATGTAGCATTTGAAGCTCCACTTCCTTTTGATTACCTGTAAAGGTATCAAATTCAAAATATTGAAAAATCTTTCCTTCCTCTTTGTGATATGATGAATATATTAAAGAATACTAATTTTTTGCCTTTGTTTTTTTTCCCAGGGGACAGTTTTCCCATCCCAAATCACTAATGAACACGAATCATTGATAATGGTGAAGAAACTTTTTGCTACTTCTATATCATGTATAACATATCTAAGGGGCCTGTTTCCAGAGAGCTCTTATGGAGAACGTCATTTGGATGGTAAAGGTTAATTAAATGGTTGCTTTAGCTATTGTAGCCCTTTTCTCCATATAACAGGAGTAAATCTTTCATTTCTCGCAGAGTATTCTAATTCCAGTTAATGGGCCTGTTCTTCAAGATCAATGTGCTAATCCATTTTCCATTTTAATTTCACTATGTTTAGTGATTTTTACTTATAGAAACTGGGCTGGGGATTTAGCTCAGTGGTTCTGCCGCCTACCTCTCAAGTGCCAGGTCCCGAGTTCAATCCCTAGTACCAAAAAAAAAAAAAAAAAAAAAGAAACCATTAACTTCTGGCTAGTTACCAAATGAGAAAAGAAATCTGTAGGGGCAAGACCAATAATTCTAAACTATCCCTAT